TGTTAATTCAGCCTACCTATCAACTCCATACTTCTTACGTCAAACATCGTATTCTTCTTTTTACGTTTCCCATGTTCATTATTTGACTAGAAGAAGGTTATATAGCAAGACTCGTATATTAATTGAAGTATTCTAGTTTAACACGTGTGTGCATTTGTGTATCTGTGTGCATATATGTATCTGATTTATTTCTATCTTAAAACAAATCAGTGTTACCCACACAATACATAGACGTGATCTTCTTCTTTTTCATTGAAGATTCTTTCCACCTCGACAACCACAACCAATAGTAACATTAACACACTGTTTACATCATCAGTATCGTAAAACATTTTGAATCCCACATCTTCTATCAATTCCCTTGGAGCTAGCACTAGTAGGGGTGCTCAAAAATCCGACCAACCCAACCCAACACGAAATAACCCAACATGAAGCAACACAATGTCTAATCGAGTTGTAAAATTGTCAAACCGTAAGTATTGGGTTGATATTGGGTTACATTTATTTGAACCCAACTCAACCCGATGAACCCGATATTCTTTTATTTCTTGGATTTAATATGCTTGTTGAATTTCTATTAATATATACATTAGACAATTACATTATCATGTATGCTTTTCATATACACATATTTTCAATCTATTCATATTTCAATATAACTCATTCAGTAACTGTGAACATATATATATATATATATATTGAGAAAATTAACTGAATGTGATATATGTAAGAAATATAGATAAGTTGTATCAAATGGTTGATAATGAAAAAGAAATTATGAGTAGAAAAATAATATATTCAAGGCTAGAAGAATATTTCAATATACCAAAGTATCAACCCGACCAATCCGTACGGGTTGGGCTAAGATTTTTTCAATCCGATCAACCCAACCCATGAGCACCCCTAAGCACTAGTCATGTACCATGGAATTAGAAAGAAATGATTATGAATTTGAATTTCTACTCTTATAGAAATAGAATATGAATACTGATGCATTTCTGAAAAAGAATATAATATTTTTCATACATATTATTACATTCTGAATTTTTTGTAACTGACATCAAATAAAAACATCGACTTGTCACATTAACATCATTTAAGTGTAACTCGTTGAATATTCAACGACATAATAAAATATATTTATAATTCATGTGAAAAGTTTTAAATTATTTAATATGCTTATATTTTATAAGGTGAATTAATTTACATTATCTTAAAACCATGGGAAAATAATATAAAAAAGACCATATTTATTTTAAATTTGTTTATAACACCTCATTCTTGCATTATCAATTCATGGAATTAAATTATTGTGACAATATTTGTATCATATAATAAATTTCTATTATTAGCAGTATACTGAAACTAGTGTTATGACAGTAAAACATATTTCCAGCTTTTATAATGGCAGTTTAATGTGAGTAAATAGTGTATTTTCTTTCGCATTTTTTAACTTTAAATTTCACATTTTACATCCCATACTAATTGTACGCGATATGTCTAATAGGGTTTAAATACCAAGATGACCACATGTGTAGGGGTGAGCATAGGTGGGTATCAGCCCTATTTGACAGGAACCGGAACCGGCGGTTCTTGAGATATTGGAACCGGAATCGGTTAGAGCGGCTCTTGAATTTTTGGAACCGGAACCGTTGCGGGTACGCGCTTCCTGAAATGTTAAAATTTTGTTATTTAGAAATAAAAAATAAAACATTGCCAAAAAACACTAAATAAATAAACAAAAATACAAATTATACGGAATAATAGTTACAAATATTGTTTAACGATTACAAACCATAATAGACTTAATAGTAAATGTTGAAAGTTTAATGATTACATACTATAATTGTAAAGGTTCAAAGTTTAACGATTACATACTATGAAGCCAATTAAACACACAATTTGAAAAAATACGGATCATTTTTTCTCAAATTCTGAATCTAGAGTTCTAAGTTCTTGACCTAATTTAAATTTAGTATTAAAAAAATTAATTATTATTTTTTAATTAAAAAATACCGAGTACCCACCGATTCCGATTCAGAGTACCCGTTGGTTCTGGATACCCAGTCCCGGCGGGTAACAGTTCCGAAAAATTGAGAACCGGAACCATTCTCAATCGGTTCCGTATTTTAGGAACCGGAACCATTCATATCGTTTCCAGTTCCGAAACCGACAGTTCCAAGGCAGTTCCGGTTTCGCAAGTGGGTACCTGGTTCCACTGCTCACCCCTACGCATGTGTCCCCCTCCCCCCACCCCCACACCCACACACACACACACACACACACACACATGTATACATACACACATATGTATACATACATACATATATATACATACATACATATATATA